CAGAATATATGTCATAACTGAATATGAAGATCTGCAATATCAATATTACAAGTTCAAGCAGATAGACTTAGCTATTTTGGACTTGTCCATACACTTATATATGTAATACCAAAATATATCACATTGATTGGCCACACTGGCTATTTTCACAGAGAACAAACAAGAGAAACTGTGAGTTTTTGTATCATGTTTTATTCTATATTAAGTAGTATGATGGTGATAATGATAATTGAGATCTTTAAGAACAAAAGAATATAATAGTAATTTTTGTTATTGCAATAAGCAGAGAAAGTACTACAAGGTGCAAATAATTTTAGATTCTTTACATCACTAAACAAGGTATGACAATTAACTGTCCTGGGGCCCGTTTCACTAAACTTCTTACGAAAAAGTTGTTCGTAAGTCAAAATCACGAATTGTCCCTGATGTTTTCATTCATCACCAGATTATACCGTGCAATATCTCATTGGAATCGTCTTTTAAAGACGATTCCAATAAGATGATGCATGGCAGAATTATGAAATTAGTTACTATTGTAGAAGTGATTTTAAATTTTGACTTACGAAAATAATGATCGTAAGAAATTTAGTGAAACGGGCCCCTGAAGTATAGTTAATTTTTTTATCAGAGCTTCCACTAGTTTAGTAGTCATTTCTTCCTTTATTTTGGTTTGTAATTTCCAAAATATAATACTTTTACTTCTTTACCTATTTAACATGACTTCCCATGTCAGACATGTTTCTGATTTTTAAATTTTTAAACTTCATAGAAGTTCTGTTTCATACATTTTTATTTTATTCTTGACCTCCTATTCTCTTGCTAATGAAAAGCTACATATTTAACAGATATATAAAGTCTTACAATGTAAAGTATAGGACGATATCACTCCATTTTCACAAGATAAAATATATATTTGTGTATTTCGCTATCGACTATTTAAAATTTGAAAATCTTAATAGCAAAATGGCAGATCGGTCAATACCAATTAGTATAAATTTAGAGGAACTCTTAATAGTGCTTATCAACTTTTCCTCCTCTTCCAAAAAATGAAGGATAAGTAGGTTAGAATAAAGTAGTTTATCTTAATCAAATTTTCAAATTACCAAAATGCACTTCAAACCTCATAAAAGTCACAAAACATTGTTATTTACCTGAACGATCAATATAATTTGATTTACACTGTAGCCCTTATATGTGTATACACAAGTTCTATAATGTAAACACTGCAGCAGTTTTGACTTTTTTTAGTGGGTTTAACTTTGCACCAACACAGTATAGGTCATGTGAAGGAAGACCTAAGGTGCCCTTCCATGCATTATTTCTGGCGCGAATGGGCACCTAAGTAGAACCTACAAAGTTCAGTAAGCTACCTCACTTCCTCAAAGCAAAGTCACTGTCAGCATATGAACCTACAACAGTGAGGGGCGAGTGGTTTGAAGTAAACGACTTTGACCACTCAGGCACGGATAACAATAACAGTTTATTGCATAATACTGCAAAGTAAACAATTACTCTTTGATAAACAAAAAAAATTGTTACTACAGAAACCTGCAAACAGTGACAAACTATGACAGTTACCTTTGCAACATTGGAAAAACAGCTTAACTTAAGGTAGAGAATTACTCTATGATGGCCTAAAAAGTTATCTTTGTTACTTTGGAAAACAGCAAAGAAGACATTTTTCAGACAAAGAAAATTATCTTCAAATTTTAAAGTAAACCAGACGTTTGTAATGATGGGAAATAATGAATAATTTACAAGTATTTAACAGACAGTATACATAAAAAGTGACATTTTCTTGCATAATACATGTATATGTACATAATATTTACAGGCAAATTCTTACAAAATATACCTCTAAAACACAGTCAAAGCAGGTTTGATAATTTCAAAATGAGAAATGTGTTATCTTTTTGATTTAAGCAATATTATTGAAACTTTAGGAATGATCACCTTTTTACCTTGTCTATTAACATCATTGGGTTACATCAAGGTCACCTTCAACCCAATTAACAAGTGTGGCATTAACATACATGTGTTAGAAGTGTGACATTTATGCACATGTTTGTCACATTTTTAATGTAATATGTAACATATACTCTTTATTATATGCAGTATTAAAATCACATGGCTCACCCTGTTATTAGTCATTTGCTTAAAAATTTGTTATTTGGCTAACAGATTCCTTGCTCATGTTATACTATTCTAATCATATTTGGTATGAAATCAAAAATTCCAACACAAATTTATTTTAATGTTTCTTTCAACCAAATTAAACCCTGATTTTAAGCTTGTCAGCATTTTTCTAAACAATTATTGAATAAAAATGAAGAAAACACTCCATCCTTTCCAGAAAATTCATGCAAGATTTTCAGTGTTTTTATTCTTTAGACATGTCAGATAAATGGACTCATGTCTAATTTCATTTTTAACACAATTTAGATGTTATCACGACTCTTTCTTTTCCACTTAGAAGGGCCCCAGACCCGTTTCCAAAAGGATGGGGAAAAACATAATTTGAGCAATAATTTGAATAAAATACAGCGTTTAAAACTTTTGAAATTTTCTTCCCCTAGCTTTAAGACTGGTTTATTTAACTTAAGAACATTTCCAATGATAAAAATCTACTTCTTTTTTTTTCTATGTTAAAATCAAACACTATGTGTACAATAAGAAATGAGCTATTTACAAATCTACTCCATTAAAATGAACAATTCTAATAAATAATAATGATAACAGTAATAAAAGTTGTAGCTCCAAAACACAATTTCATTCAGTATGTATTTCATCCACAACTTAATATTATGAAGAAATAAAAAAAAAGAAGAATAAGTTTTCTTTCTCTCACCTATTATCCTTACAGAAGAATACTTGAAGAAATCCATGAAAATATTCTTTCTGAACTAATTCATTACAAAACAAAACATAAATATTCTAGTTAAAATATCATGACAAAAAATAAAAACTAAATTTTTTTTTTGACGACATAATGTAAGGGACACAACTCCTACACAAGATTGAACTTACAGAAAGATGCAAAGGAAAGTAAAGAAAACATAAACATAGTTTTGAGCCTTTAAGACGGGGGACAGAGATAATATATGGGCTATGTAAGGGAGATAACTCTTCCAGTGACTATCCAATTATGAAATGAAATAGCCATTTTTTTGTCTTACAAATCCTATTAAATGAATAGGCAGGTAAAAGTTATTGACAATGTTTTACAGTACATCCCTGATTCATGAAGCAGCTTCACTGAGAGTAAATGAACACACTGGTATGCAATATATTCACATATTACATGTTGACAGGTCAATATATTCACATATTACATGTTGACATGTCAATACATTCAGTAATACATCAAAAACAAGGCACTTCAAACTATCACATCTATTCACTTAACCACTTCTATATTCTCCCATTCTCTTTATTCAAATATCCTCCAATGCTGTTTCTTATGTATAATGTTAAACAATTGTTTATCATTTGTTTAGTTCTGTTCTCTTGCTTTCTATACCCTTTTAGTACCCTTATTCCTACAACTTTATATATTAACTCGACATGAAATATATTTTTGGCGCTAATTTCAACTCCCAATTGTCATTGATTCTTTTATGACTCACACTTTTCTGTATCTTGCATGTATAAAGGTCTTATTCATGTCATCAATATTAGTTTAATCACATTTATTCCTGATACACAAAAATCCGACAACACTTCAGAAAAAAAACAACAATAAAAAAGTCACAGCAGTCATTCAATATAGACCATTACTTTCACAATTATCCACCTTTACAAAACTGAAAACTTTTATTCTCTTTATTCAGGAGCATACAGTCTGCATTTGTTCAACGACAATCCACATTTCCCCCTGTACATTTCATAGAGCACTGGTCATGTTCACTTATAACATTAGGCCTAATCTTCACAGAATTTTCTGAAAAGAATTTTTTTTCTAGAAATTCCAGTTCTGTCTTTTTTTTTATCAAACTCTACATGTAATCCATCCCTCAGAGACCTTGTGATATTGTCAAATCTTCCATATTACTGCAGTCTTCAATTTTTAATGTCTGAAATATTAATAAAAGTAGCATTTAGTAATAAGTTATAATAATTTGTATATATCAACATCAAATTTTCAGTCTGTATTAGAATTTTTGTATGGTTAATCTAAACAAACTTGGCAATCTTTTAAATTTTAAGCATAAAAGGAAATGATCAGATCTATCATTCTAAACATTCCCAAGTTGATAATAGTTGGCAAATCTTATTAGGAAATTAATACACACTTTTTGTGTTTTATTGACGTCTTTTGTACATGTACAATAATATTATGGCTGACAGCAATATTCAATTTGTAAGGGTTTCAGCTTCAGTTCAAATGCATCTTCATTGACATTATGCCCAAATAAGTGTAAACAGGTCAAAGTCAATATAACTCATAATTTTGCCATAATTGTTTTCAATTGTATAATAATTGTATAATGTGTATAATCAATAACCCACATGAATCATGAAATTTTAATAAATATCCTCCAGAATGCAATGTCAAACATTCAATTGATAGAGAGTGGGGCAGTATTTTTATATTTTAGGCAGTTGTTATATTTCATCCTTGACATTTTTCATTATCTATTATTAGTCAATAAACATTATAATAGTCTACCTTTTATGTAAATATAGCCAATTTAGCTAAACTTGGCAGGGAAAAAATGAGCATATTGTTACTTTAATTACAAACATATTTGTGGTAAATTAACAGCCTATTTGAGTCACCCTTGAGTCTGCTTCCTAAAACCTACCAGTACTGGTGCCATATCTTATAAGGTCACATTTTCTTGACTTCTGAAAGGCTCTAGCCTGGGTTAACATGGCAAACACATTAACCATTCAGCCACCTTTTCACCCTTTTTTTTACTATCTTAGAAATCTACCAGAACATAATAACTATACAAACCTAGACATAACTCTGTTCTTACCTAACTTATTCAACCTTGCCGGTTGTTAGGATTTAGGAACAAACTTAGTTTTAATTTTTTGCAGTTTCAATACTTGGAATAAAATGTTATAAACAAAGTGTATGAAAAACATCTGCAACTTTGAATTCCATCCAGAATAAATTCATTCTCAATTTTAGCACTTTCCTTCTATAAACTGAATAAATTTGAAACATATTTAATGAAAAAGTATGAGATTATTTTCCACAAATGAAGAAACACTCACCTTTTCGTTTGCTAAATGAAGTAAACAAACAAATGCTATGGGAACACTGAGGTTTCTAGCTGTTTGACCTGAGACTTTTTCTGGTAAATCATTGAGAAGTTTTTGGAATGTCAACTTCCCTTCCATCTCCTTACTGGTTCCAGGCTCATTGCTCGCAGAATTGTTTGTGTTACCATCTTCTGAAGGCTGAATAAATAAAATATAAAACAGATAATTTTTACACATTATCTCCCAGCACTCATTTTTTGCCCATGGCTGCCTTTTGTATAGATTGTTTTCTATTGTTTATGTTTTAAATACAACTAAAATGCTTATATTTTATTACATGCTTTTCGATGGTTTATAGAAATATATCAGTGAATTAAAACTGATAATTTCACTGTTTTGAAACAGTGAAATTACCATTTTGATAATTTCACTGTTTTGAATTTAAGCCCCTTACATTGTTTCAGTGAAATACCAGCGTGCACAGTACTGGGTACCAACTTAATGACGTGACATCGTAAATGACGTCACGTTGTATTATTATTTGGCGCGCTTTTCATTCAGTTAAAGGTTTAATGTCTTTTTAAAACGTTTCTTTGCATGTAATAAAAAGAAAATTTGTTTAGTTTAGTGTAAGATCGAAATATATTTCACCTTGTGAACACCAAAAGTTCATATTTCACTCGTGGCTGTGCCACTCGTGAAATATACCTTTTGGTGCTCACTCGGTGAAATATATTCCGATCTTACACTGAACTAAACAAATATCCTCTATATAATAGAAATTAATTTACAGCATTTCGACATATTTTGACTGTCTTACACAAATTGACATAACATAATGTGCTGTATTAAATCAAATATGGTAAGTATTAAATAGTAATCTCTTAGTTAACACTTTCAAATTTTTTATTTTGCTGAGTCTGATAAAAACATTAAAGTCTGTTCAGGAATGGTCGCTTCAGTGCAAGTTAACTCTTAACTTGACAATTTTTCTTGTATTTTGTTATCTAGTAAACTGTACCATTTTCTTGAAATTTAAAACCTGTCATTTTTTCAAGGAGACCAATTATGAGGCTATAAATTACACATGTAAGCTTTAAATAAGCTTAAGGTAATACCAGCACTAAATGCAACATATTTTTGTCTATGTCTAATAAAGGAACATACATACCACTGATCAAATGACAAAAACATATTAAAAAAAAATTTCGACTCAAAACTTCATGAATTGATTATTGAAAACTAGTCTTCAAATTACACATATCTACCATTAACAAGCTAACTGGATCACTTCCTCAAATAAACAAATCCAAATTCCTACATGTTACCTTAGCCTAAGGGCAAGATGAATTTAATTAAAGCTGTGAAAACTATTTGGACACTGTGACTAAAATGGAAAATACCAATATGAAACAAGCAATTATCATAGTATTGCAAGCAATCCATAAGTCCCCTACCGGTTAGAACCCCAGCAACATTCTGATGGGCCATTAGCTATTCAATTTTACCAGTGAATGAATGACATGAATGAACTTAAATCTTTTGAGTTCTAAGTTTGTCTATATCACAGTAATGTGTTAAGTTTCCCTGCCTAGTAAGGAAATTATGTTTATACAACCTTGTCATATTATTACGATGTGGGATTTTATTGTAAATCCTATAAGGAATGAAGAAGTTGGAGTGAAAAATACCAATTTCTCAACAAAAATCTAAGTTTAAGGGGGAGATAATTCTGGAAATAGTCTTGCTAGAGTATTTAACCTTCTCAAAAATGTTGAGTGATAATAAGAAACATATATATGAAGTTTGAAGTAGATACATTAGGAAATAAAGAAGTTATTTAAACAAGAGGGCCATGATGGCCCTGAGGTCGCTCACCTGTATATAGCCCCCCCCCACCCCCCGGCCGATTTTTACCCAAGGGCTTTTATTTGTTTATTTGAACAGACTTGGTAGACACCCATAAGAAGATGTTTCATGCTAAACATCTAAGTTCTAGCTCATTGGGTTTTTAAAAAGAAGATTTTTAAAGTTTTTACTATACACATATAGTTAAAAACAATGACACCCCTGGGGCAGGGCCAGTTTTGACCCCCAGGCTTTTATTTGAACAAACTTTGTAGATATTTACTTAAAGATGTTTCATGCTTAATATCTAAACTCTAGCTATTTGGGTTTTTTCAAAGAAGATTTTTAAGTTTTTGCTATACACAAATAAGGAAAATCAATGACCCCCCCCCCCCCGGGCGGGGCCAGTTTTGACCCCAGGGCTTTTATTTGAACATACTTGGTAGACACCCATTAGAACATGTTTCATGCTAAATATCTTAGCTCTAGCTCTTTGAGTTCTTTAAAAGAAGATTTTTTAAGTTTTTACTATATGCATATAGGGAAAATCAATGACCCCCTGGGGCGGGGCCAATTTTGACCCCAGGGCTTTTATTTGAACAAACTTGGTAGACAGTCATTAGAAGATGTTTCATGCTAAATATCTTAGCTCTAGCTCTTTGGGTTCTTTAAAAGAAGATTTTTTAAGTTTTTACTATATGCATATAGGGAAAATCTATGACCCCCTGGGGCGGGGCCAATTTTGACCCCAGGGCTTTTATTTGAACAAACTTGGTAGACATTCACTAGAAGATGTTTCATGCCAAATATCTAAGCTCTAGCTCTTAGGGTTCTTTAAAAGGAGATTTTTTAAGTTTTTACTATATGCATATAGGGAAAATCAATGACCCCCGGGGGTGGGGCCAATTTTGACCCCAGGGCTTTTATTTGAACAAACTTGGTAGACATTCACTAGAAGATGTTTCATGCTTAATATCTAAGCTCTAGCTCTTACGGTTCTTTAAAAGAAGATTTTTTAAGTTTTTACTATATGCATATAGGGAAAATCAATGACCCCCCGGGGCGGGGCCAATTTTGACCCCAGGGCTTTTATTTGAACAAACTTGGTAGACACTCACTAGAAGATGTTTCATGCCAAATATCTAAGCTCTAGCTCCTAGGGTTGTTTAAAAGAAGATATTTAAAGATTTTTCTTTCGGTTGCCATGGCAACCAGAGTTCTGCATGGAATTAAATTCTTTGAACAATTTTTAAAGGTGACCACCAAAGGAACATTCCTGTGAAGTTTGGATGAAATTGGATCAGTGGTTTATGAGGAGATGTCATTTAAAGCAAAAGTTTACGGACGGACGACGGACGGACGACGGACGGACGCCGGACGAAAAGCGATCACAAAAGCTCACCCTGTCACTTTGTGACAGGTGAGCTAAAAAGACAACATTTTTTTTTCATAAAAGCTCTAAGTTCAAGGGAGGTAATACAGATAATTTTTGTGCTAGAGTTGTAAACCTTGTCACATATGATGTGGTTGATAATTAGAAACTGATATTTAAAGTTTGAAGTAAACACCTTAAGAAATAAAGAACTTATAGTGAAAAAGCTGAAAAATTTAAATCAGAAATCTTGAAATTCAGGCTATTTGTTGCCATAGCAACCAGAATTTTCAACATAGGAAGAAAAGAAAAAGATGTGCATAATCTCCAGACTGCCATCTACCCATATTTTAAGTTTCATAAAAATATTTTCAGTACTTTTTGAGTTATTACTGGATCCAGTTTATGTGTTAAATTTGCCAATTTTCAGACTATTTGTTGCCATAGCAACCAGAATTTTCAACATAGGAAGAAAAATAAAAGACGTGCATAATCTCCATACTTCCATCTATCCATATGTCAAGTTTCATAAAAATATTTTCAGTACTTTTTGCGTTATCGCGGGATCCAGTTTTGTGGACCGACGGACTGATGGACGGACAGACAGACGGACGGAGGGTAAACCTAAAGTCCCCTCTGGTTAAACCGGTAGGGGACTAATAAGCAGCAGTACAGTAACAGGAACATAGAAGTGAGTTTGTCTTACCTGTTCTGGATCTTTAGGAGCTGCTTTCATCAAGTTCCACATGGACGATTTTAGCCTCTTCACATCAAGTTTCTTGGCTGTTTTAGCATAATCAATATCAATCTTTGCCACCTGTATATCATTTATGTAAACAAGCAAGAGGGTAAGAATTTATGATGTACTGTCTGCAGAATAATGTGCTATGAGTATAAGAATATTACACCTTAACACTTAAATTCATCTATATTTTATTAAGAGCAGATAGTGACTAAAGTTATAACATCCATGTATATAAAGTAACATAAAATTTGTTAAAATTCTTTTGAGAAATGACCATCAAGATATGAAATCAATGTTATAGAGCAGTTTCAACAAAATATTTCATATATCTTAAAATATAGCTTTACACATTCTAAAAATAAAGTTTTATTTAAAGAGTTGAAACAATTTACAGTCAAGACGAATGTTGCAGAGAAATTAGACATATTCTGCTTAGCTTACATAAATTTCACTTTATAAATTATCCTACATCATATATACAAGTTCAAGAAAATTGCAAAAAACTTCTCAGCCACAAGAGATGTAGAATTACCTTATATGGTTGAGCTAATAATTTATCTCCTGTGAGTATAGTACCATCACCTAGATTAGGTTGTGTAAATGTGTCCTGAGATTGAGAGAATGGATCTTGTGACGACGATGATTCCTGACTGAAATCTGTTCCCGCGGCAACAAAATTACCAAAGTCCATATCACCACTGTCATTATCATCATCACCCTGTTATAAAACAAAAACAAAGAAAGCTTGAGCATTGTAAAACTTCTTTTAAAATCATTATTTCTGATGAATTTTTATCATGGATCCTAAATTGGATTTTGAGCTGCCATTGAATGTATAATGGACTTGAAATTAGAAACATTCAAACTAGGCAGGCTTTTTCCTGCTATTTTGGGAAAAAGCCCCTGGCATACATTTATTGCAAAATAAATTCGACATTTGAGAAATTTTGAAAAGTAAGAAAACTGCCAAATACATGACTTGAAAGGTTTTTTAACATATGTATAACCATATAACCTGTCCCTTCTAAAAGTTGAAACAGTTTGAGATTTTTGGGCTGCTGTTGGGATTTATTTTCCAATTGTAAAATAATGAGGCAATTTGGATTAGGACTGTATTTCAGCCCCTGGTGAATATGTTTCGACAGTATTTAAGATTGTACTGTTAGAATTGAAAAGTCTAAATAAATTCAAACAAATCTGCATATAACATATACCTCATCATTGGGACAGTAGTTTTCCCTGTCATTTGCATTCTCATAATCATAATTTTCAATAGCATCGTCAACATTAGCACTGGTCTTCTCTCGCTTTATCTGAAATAAGGTATTCTAATGTTACATAACAGATAACAAAGCACATCAACCACTTCAAAAACATAAAATACCTTAAATATGTCCTTTATAAGACAGAGACAAATCTCAAACTGATAGTTACATTATGATCATCAAAGTGTAAATGTGACAGTGAAGGTCTAAGGCTAAGTAACTTAAAATCTTGTCGTTTTTGTGTTCAATTTTTACTTTTACTAAGCAAAAATAATAAACAATCAACATCGTCTGAAATTTCTTCAAATATTGTTCAGAAGGTATCAGTAGCATTCAATTTTTAAAAAGAAAGGAGCAGTCTTTTAATAATTTAGGTAGTTTCTTTATCTTATCCTGAATATTTTTTATTATCAATTATTGGTCAATCATCATACTAATAGTCAATCTTTTGAAATATTTTACAAATTCAGCTCAAAACGACAGCTAAAGAATGGGCATAATTCACTCTAACTTAATATTAAATGTCTTTGCAACACATTTAGTTCTCAAGTCAAAACAATAAACAACTTTGAAACATGTCGGGAGAAAAAAAATTGTAATTTATTTATGAAACCAAATAATTGTTAATAAACATGACCTGTCCAAGGACAGCAAGCTCTACTTTTCTCAGTGTTGGATAGTTAAATAAAAGCAACATAGCAAAAGGGGTATAACTTTTGGGCATGACAATTCAGCGACTTCACTTTACATAACATGACCTTAATAAGGCCTCTTCCAAATGCAAATTTTCTTGAAAAAGCATGCAGTTTTCCCCAAAAAAAATCTGAATTTACACCAGCTTTTTTTATACCAAAGTAGCAATTTCAGCGATAATTCTTCCCAAAATCAAGAGCCTAAAGCTTCTTCCCAATTAAGTGGGGAAAACAACTGCAATAGGTCAATATTTATTCTTCGAGCTTAAAATGCTAAGGGGAGCAATGGCCTCCTGCAATAATGGTAAAAAAATCTGTTTATCACAACAAGAATTGACAAGGGTTAAATACATCCTCTATCACCTACCATTCTTCGTTTTAACATAAACAGTCGGAACAGTTTATCTGCATCATAATGATGATCCTTCGGCAGTGTCGTCTGGTCCTTACTGTATTTATTTAACGTGTTCTTAGTCAGTGCCGTAGCTTTAGATATTTTAAATTTTGATTCAAAGTCTATCTCTTCATCAAAGTCTATTCTAAACACTTGTTTCTTTCCTTTACTCTTCTGTGCTTGTGTGGTAGATGCTGATTTCCCTAATTCTATAAGTACAAAAGAGTATATTATAATTTATATATTTACTGTTTTAGTTATAATATGAAAATGGACTGAATGTAATTTGTTTGTTTTATTGGGTTTTTACGTCACACTGACACAGTATAGGTTATATGGAGACGTTCCAGCTTGACTGGTGGAGGAAGATGTTAGGTGCCCTTCCGTGCATTGTTTCAGGCAAGGACAGGCACCCAAGTAGAACCACCAACATTCCGTAAGCTAGCTAGAAAGCTACCTCACATGAAAGATTCAAAGTCCCTGTTGGGATTCGAACCCACAGCGGTGAGAGGCAAGTGGCTTGAAGTCAACAACCTTAACTACTCTGCCACAGACGCCCCACTGAATGTAATATTGAGATTACATTTATGACTATATTATGTGCATATGTATACAAAATATATATGTATATGAGATGGATGACCCATCCCTCTTTTACCTATAACCGTTTCACAGGAAAAAAACTTCAATGTTAAGATACAATATATGTGTAAAATTGAAGTCTTTACCCAAGATACAATATATGTGTAAAATTGAAGTCTTTACCCCTAGATAAATGTCCTGCCCTCCAATGAGATGGCCCTGCCCAGGTTCTCAGTAATGCTTTGTTAAAGTAGGAATAATCAGACGGTTCCATTGATAACACCTGCATCAATGCCCCAGTTGTACCATGTCTGTAACAAAACAAAAAAGCTTTCTTTTAGTTTATATACATTTATTTTAGTTTGATTGTGATAGAAGCTACAAGCTGAAACACTCTCGAATCCGTTCCTTGAACTAGCACTAGCAATGAGTGTTAAGTTTCTTTCTCAAGGAAACAACAGTTTGCCCCTGATGGGGTTTGAGCCTGCTCAGCCGGCAATATTTAGATTTTTATTCCAAGGTGTTAACCACTCAGTCACATCACCACACTACCTTTATTTTATCTGAAATTAATATTTTCTGACCAAGTTATATTGCACTTTTTACCCCTTACTGGTGCAGCTCGTTCTGTGAACATTCTTTCAGAGTACTTATCCGTTTATTGAATACCGTAGTAAATCTTCATATCTTATTATGTACAAGATAATAGCAATGCTACTCTTAATACTCTATGAAAGTCTGTTAAGATCTTGAGTGGACTTGCTCATCTCTCATTTCTGACAAAAGCATTATGATTTATCATTTTCAGGAAAAATTTCAAAATATATCCTGACTAAACAGTGAACAATGTAAAACGATGATAAGATGTGCCAGATGTTCTTGATTTGCTCCAGTCAAATTTGAAGAATTGGTTACATTAAAAGCAAAATCAAAACTTACGTCATGTCACTGAGTACAGATTGTACAAGTTGAGCAGCCTTTCCATCTCCGATACAGTTATCTCTCCCTATCTCCTCGTCTAGATTCGTATCTGCTACATCTAAACAATCAGTCAAATATTTATATATCTATACATTGTCACCTTGGGTCTGCTTCTCAATTCTCCAAAAAGGGGAAAAATCTTGAATAAAAACTTTGACTAACAAAAATGCCTGCTTCTACTGTTTTTAATAAGTCCTAAATAATAGTATTTGCCATATATTTTAATTGTAGTTTCGGCAGAAACTAAAGTCTTAGAGCAAAACTTTCTGTAATTAAAGAATCTTGCTTCTATTGTTTGTTTGAGGCACTTACAGAAGTAAAACCAGAACATGTTAAGCATGACTTGAACAAGTTGCCAACAAATATTATCCACAAGATATATGTAGTTTTAAATTAAAACTTTCATTGGTTTAGATGATAAAACTTACAAGTGGAACAAAGACCAACTTATATACTTATGCAGTGGTCAAGTAGGATAGCTACACCATATCAAGTGTAGTTATCTAACATAACAGTCATCTAAACAGATCATCTGATTTATCTAAGATTATATATGAGCCGCATCACGACAAAACCAACATAGTGCGTTTGCGACCAGCATGGTCTGGCAAACCCATTATGTTGGTTTTGTCATGGCACGGTTCAATTATATTGTCAAAATAAGTAGATTGAAACCTTCAAGGTCATCGCCCAAAAAGCTGCCGTCCCCACCACCTAACACTGACATATCATCATGATGGTCCGGTATAGGTTCCGGTTCAGCGTCCATATCAAACCGGTGCTCCTCCTGCGATGCTGTTATACCGGGTATTGAACTCTGAAATACAAAAACAGTAAATATAAAACACTGAGGATAATTAAGCACTAAGTTCTATGCTAACGATCATCAACAGTAATTTTGTACAATTTTGATCTCTAATTAACTTCTTAAATCAATCATTTATTACTAAGCTATAGCTAAAGACAAAGTTTGATAACATATATTACCATCTAGAACTGTTATTTCCATTATAGAAAAAAATATCAAACAAGCACCAAAACCAAATTTCGGATAAAAAATAAGTTGTACGCATTTTCAAATAAAATTCACTCAAGACAATGTGTAAACTTCTGCTTGCAATTACTTAAAATCTGGTAAACAGTCTCTCTTTATTTTAATTGCTGAGAAATAGTCAAGACTTTCATAATGGAACAAATTTTTACTGATTTTGTTAAGTTTCAAGGTCTTGTTAGTTTCAATGTCAATCAAATATCTATTTCACCAATCATATATTTGATGGGTCCTAAGATCCCTTCTAGCATAAAAAGTTGACAAACCTGATCAGAAGAATCCCAGTTTGTAAACCTATATGTGGAAAATGCTGGACAAACCAACTTCTCAGCAGTTGTATTGTCTGTTAGTAAACCTATTTAAACAATATTAAAAAATTCTTGGTAATATACATGTAACAAATACCTTCAATTCAAAACAGAATTATCAATCACATTTTTAATACTGAATATTGGTAATATTGTAAACTTTACTTTCTATGCCAATTCACTTGTGCTTGAAATCAATTATATTTTTTTTTAATAAAACCTCAAAGAATATTTGAAATGTTTACTGTGGTACTTGTTTCTCTTCCATTACATAAAATAACTAGAGGATGCTTTTGTAAAAAAGCGCATGTCTCCCCCACTGCTGAGAATAACTGTGAATGGAAACAGGAATGGAAATGGAGATAAGATCATCCTATGAAGTTTGAGGGTTGTAGGTCAAAAGGAACTCTAGTTATCATCCGGAAATGAGAAATTGACCAACGGTCACTGTGACCTTGACCTTTGACCTACTGACCCCAAAAACAATAGGGATCATCTGCTCTATAAGACCAATCATCCTATGAAGTTTGAGGGCTGTAGGTCAAAAGGAACTCTAGTTATCATCCGGAAACGAGAAATTGACCAACGGTCACTGTGACCTTGACCTTTGACCTACTGACCCCAAAAACAATAGGGATCATCTGCTCAATAAGACCAATCATCCTATGAAGTTTGAGGTCTGTAGGTCTAAAGGAACTCTAGTTATCATCCGGAAACGAGAAATTGACCAACGGTCAGTGTGACCTTGACCTTTGACCTACTGACCCCAAAAACAATAGGGATCATCAGCTCTATAAGACCAATCATCCTATGAAGTTTGAGGGCTGTAGGTCAAAAGGAACTCTAGTTATCATCCGGAAACGAGAAATTGACCAACGGTCACTGTGACCTTGACCTTTGAACTACTGACCCCAAAAACAATAGGGATCATCTGCTCAATAAGACCATTCATCCTATGAAGTTTGAGAGCTGTAGGTCAAAAGGAACTCTAGTTATCGTCCGGAAACGAAGAATGGACGGACGGACTGACGGACGGACTGACGGACGGACAGGGCAAAAACAATATGTCTCCCCCCGAGGTGGGGGAGACATAATAAAGCTATGCTTTATCTAGCACATAAAATTATGAAAATTTGTACATCAGTAACAATCATGATGACCAGCATCCTTAATTACATCTTACCTGTATGTACTATGACACAATTTTCACAAGCCTAACAATTCAGGAACATATTAAAGGCATATTTGTTTTTTTTTAGTATTTTGCCATAAGATTTGGAATGTTTGCAGGGTTTTGTTCAAAATTGCAAAATGGGTCTGATATTCTAAACTACATTATTTTGACATGCCTGCCTAAAGCAATGACTTTCCTTTATTTTACTTTTAATACCAAAAATATTTTTTAAAAAGATAGGATAGGACTTTTTTACTCAATTTTATACTCAGAATTGGTAAAAGGATTCATTTTCTTTTTCTGTTGGTGTTCATATTGCACCAAAACAGTAGAGTTCACTTGTGGACTTTCAAGCTTTACTGGTGGAAGAAATTCAGTAATGAACGGGTACCCGAGTAGAACAACCAATGTTCTGAGAACTAGCTTGATAGCTTCCTGACATGAAAGAATACAAAGTTCCTAGCAGGATTTGAACCCACAGTTGTGAGGAGCAGTTGGTTTGAAATCAATAACCTTTAACACTTGACCCAGGGTTCTCAATAAGAGCCGGCCGCCGGCCGAAATGACCGTTTAAAAACACTTTTTGGCCGGCTGAAATTTGTAAAATTTTTAAGTAATACCAAAAACTGAGAACATAATTTGACTGTCAAATACTGATGTTCCGTGATATTTATTAATTTTTCAGTAGAAACACAATAAATGATTGGAATAAATCTGAAAACAGACTTTTATTAGCAAATAAATCTTAATTAAACTTGCATAAAGTGAAACCGGAAGTCCAACTCCATTGCCGATTTTTCCAGCCTACTGCAATATTGCAATGAAAATACTTGCTAAAACTGGACACTATTCAAGGGTTTAAACTTTAAAACACATGATTTGTTTGCTATAAATCGTAAAATCAATTGTTGATAGTTGTCATATACACTGATAATGTGTACTAAAATACATTCATGTGTTGTCGGAAATAGATCTGATTTCGGATGTAACTTATTCGGACATGCAATTAAGATTGGGAAATTTTCATAAAAGAAAAAAAGAAATGTTTTAAATAAAATATCTTTCTTTGACTGAACTTCATACACTGATATATACAATGCTTATTTATGAATAAGCAATTTTAATGCAAGTAATATAATATGAATAACAAGCTTGTTATCAAAGTTTTGATACCCTAGGTATAAAAATTAAGGGCAATATACTTTGATCAAAATGACTTAAAATCTATAATTTGTTGTTCAAATCAGGGACAAAAGATGTAAATCCAATGTTCCTTCTCAAATCTTACACCAAATAACTGATACATTTTTAGTGAATTACATGTACTGAGATTTGTTGGCATAAATAGTAAAAGTTTTTGTGACATTTGCTCTGTTCCATGTCTGACAAATAAGTTTATAGAATTTATGACTAACACATTTAGGTCCTGTTCAAGCTTTTAACTTCAAAATAAGAATCAATTTTAGGATCAGGATCAATATTTGGATCAACTGTAAAATTCCCTTTTCTTACAAAAATAACAATAAATTATCTAAAATTTCATAAACTTACCATCGCAAACCCAACTTCATCAAATTAATATTTGATATATAATCTATGAGGATAAACAATGAAGAATATTAGTTTTTAATTTGATCCTGATCCTTAAATTTTTGTGAACGCTCAGCCTGTTTTGATTTTGTAAACATAAACTGTACATTGATGTATTATGTACATGTGAAACTGTAAGCTCTATTGAAATCTTGTTAGTGCCATGTCTGCAGCTTGACAGGCAACACACAATTTGCTTATTTTTATTTAATCATTTAATGCCAGGTGAGTATTCACATAATTGGCAAGTCATTTTAAAATGCCCTTCTGTTCAATGAAAGCGTTAATCCCTACAAAATGAAACACAATGATTGGCATCTGGCACATGATATTTTATTATTGAATAAGAGTGATTTTTATGCAGTAATTTTCTAATATTTTTCTCCTGTCATCAATTAATGCCTGACATAACTGTATTGGTCCAGTATTTTAAAATGAATTGCCGGATATGGTGTTTCATTAAGTTTATAATGAATTAAAAAACAGTATTTAAGGCAAAACTGCACTTTTTTTCCCAAATAATCAGAATTTAATAGTGTGAGAAATTTTATATAGTTTTTTTTTTCAAATTATGCCTTTACATTTGTTCTTCTGTAATAGTTTTAAACTGCCAAAATATGGCCTAGAATGCAGGAACTCAAGTGCTTAATTTCAAAATTTTCCGGGGGAGCATGCCCTCAGACCCCCCTAGGAGGCCTGCTAGAATTCAAATTTGGCCTGCTGAGCTGAAAGTTATTGAGAACCCTGTTGACCACATATGCGCCTGGATACATTTTCCATTTGGAAAATAACCCAATATGGCTTAATAAGTAGATCTATGACTACAAAATAAACACCAACTTGTCAAGGTATGAATTACAGGTTGTTAACAATTAAAAAAAAAAGTTTTTTCACCTTTAAAATCTGTGACATCTACATTTTCTTTTCTTTCTTCGATCCTTGACATATCTAGGTCATCTGTTGGGGATATTAATGTATTAGAATCTAGTACAAGCCGCTGTGTGTTATCAAATGTTCGTAAATTAGACAGCAGCAACCCACTACTTCCACCTTCATCAAAAGCCGCCGACATTACTTGAAATAATGGATCTACCTACAATATTGAAATCTTTCAATTAATAATCAGATTAAAGAAATCTTCACACTTTTATTACGGGAGGTTTTTGTTCTGCAGTTGAGCATTAGGAAAGGTATGTTATCACAAAGCAGCAAATCTAAACAGTTAATATATAAGACAAACTTCTAAAATGCCTTTTCATGAAATGTTTTTCAGTTTTCAAAATGCAAAAAATAATTCACAAATGTTAAAAGTTCTTAAACAGTATTTTTTTCTCACTTAATAGGAATCGCTGAAATTGCTAATTTGGGAAATAAAAAAGCTGGTGTTAATATATCTTTTTTTATTAATTTTTTTACAGTGATAAAGAGGCCTTGTATAGGCCTCTCTTATATAAGGCAAAAAATCACTGCCTTAGGATTAATTTATCATCACCCAGTAAGTCTTATTGGCAATAAAAATTATGCATTTGCTACTTACCTCAAACTCAAGATCAAATTTGTTTACATTGATGTTCTTCAAGTTTGTCTCCACTGTTTTACTTTTTCTCTGAAAATATTGAGTAATCTTGTATTATAATTGTGCCCAGTATGTTTTTCTTGAGTTTCCAACCAGTTCAACAAAACTTTATTATTTTGTTTCAGCAACAAAAATTCTTTCATTAAATTTGTCAGGATTCCATCATTAAACTGTTGGATTCCTGTATTTGTCTCTTCATGATGACTATTGCAATAATGAATTTAGCAAACAAAAACTTAACCCAAGTGTGATGATAACAGCAATGTTGATGCAAGGGTGAGTAAAATAGCTCTTCTAATTCTTTGAATAGTCGCGCTAGTCAACTGTATTGTGTAGTATACATAGTGTTTCTTATACTGCATGGCATAATTGTATCTTCATTGTTTTAAGCAGACATTGATAATTCCATTAATATCAAAATTGAACATTCTCATAAAATGGTAAACCAAAGGGATTTAAATGCTCTTCTAAAGTACTGCCATTTAACCATGTTTTCATAAAGAAATGATTTTGTCTCATTTCTGAAAAAACAAAACAAAAAAAAACCCCAACAGAATACATATTCTACAAACCTTTTTCTTCTTTTTCTGGGCTTCATCAGGCCTAGCTTCCCCCTCAGCACCCCCATCTTCACCTTCTAATGTATCTTCATCTATACAGAAAATATTGTCTATAGTTTAATATATATTATTCTGTTTGTTCGTTTTCTTGTAAGTTTTTAACAAATCTATTCAAGTTAAATTGAGACGAACACCGACCTTTCAATCATTTGCATATGTACAATGCACTATTGCCATTTTAACCAACACCTGTAATGCACAGGTTGCCCCTGTTTAGACATAGCATTTACAGTTATAATGCAATGACAGTAAAACTACAGCGATGAAAATTTTCACTGTATATTCTGCAATAATTTAGTATAAATACATAAATACAAGTTAAAACAAAATTTCAGAACTAACATATTTATCATCTTAATCACTGTAAATACTTTAGCGCTCCCTACTTTTTAAAATTTTTTATATAAATTGCATTTTTTTTTATTTATTTCTTTTTATTTCTTATTATTAATTACTTACCATGAGCATGTTTATGTTTATCTGCTCCCCTACCAAGACCACTGAGAACTTTGTATGTTTCTGCATGGATGGCATCAACTCTCCCAGCATAAATCTTGGCGCTTGCATCCAATGTTGTACTAGCAACCTATTTATGGACAAAAGAATTCTTATTGATTTCATTTTCTATTGTTGATTTTTAAGTTGAAACACTACAGTCATGGTTGTACAGCTACAATAATCATCTCTTGGATACAGGTTTGACAATAATCATAGAAAAGCATATGTGATCTTTGGTCAAGCCAACTTTAATTTCTATCTGGCCCAAGTCGTAATATCTGTCTCAATAGCTTCATCTGACATCATACAGTTTGTTAAAATCCATATTTCAGTCAAAATCTATGCTGAAGTAATAATTCTTTTATTATAAAATCAACTTCAATTCACATATAGTTTCAAGTCAATGCCTTACAAGGACATTTATTAAGTTTCTAGTCAACACCTTCAGTGCTTTTGAAGATTATTGTTATATGCGAAACCTTAACAAAGAATCTTCATTTTCTAAAATAATAATCAATGTCAGAGTTATGGGCTTCAAACAATGACCTCCCACTATGATCTAAAAGATTTCTTTGAAGTTACAAACAAATATTATTAGTGATTAATGAGATATAATATTATATAAGAACTTTAATCAAAGCATTATGCCTAAGCCTGGTTGAGTAGCATAGCTCCACTAGTCTTCATGCACTTTTTTAGCATCAGAGTGGAACCGTTCACATATTTGTTGTTGTTTTTTTGCTTTAAGAAATACCAACACTGGCCACTCTTTAATATTCAGCATGTGAGTAGTATCCACTCAGGCTTCGCGAAAGTTGCCGGACCGTCGGACATGTCCGGCAAAAATCAGGCCAGTCCGATATTTTTTTTCGGAGTTCCGGACCTTATGTCCGGTACGAATACCGGGATATATCCAAGATCGATCAAGACCGAGTTTTCTTCCTTGAATAAAAAAATGTAAAACAAGTTTTGATTTGCCGTTTCATTATAAGTGTCCGATACATACGACTGTCAATAACCAAAATGTCGATGTTACTTCATTATTACGCTGGCGCTACGCCCAGCAAAAATCGTAAACTATCCAATGAAGAAAAAAAAGCAAAACAAAAGGAATACGAGTCCAGGCGCCCGCCGAGAAAATTTGTGGGTAAATGGAAAAATGGCCGCTTTGATCATGAATGTTTTGATTTCCAAACAGAGTCCATTCACAGGTGCTTGAAACAAACTTTTTAAAGTTTTATATGGGCTATATACTATATATCTTTATATACATATATAGACTGGTTATGTAAAATATTTGAATATATGTGACTAGCGCCTGTGAGTCCATCAATCTGGATAAACTAATGTTTTATTTAAGGGAATAAAATTGTGTTGCAAATCTTTAAAAGTTGTTATGTCTTTAAAAAAAAACCAAGGTATTACCATATACATATATTTGGGGGAAAAAATTCGGTCAGACAAAAGTTCTTTCGGTCAGACAAGAATTGAAAGTTTGTCTGACCGAATGTCAGGCAAATTTTTCAGCAGTTTCGCGAAGCCTGTCAACTTTTAATCTTATATCGCCATCCTGTAGACTGAATATATATTTATCAAAGTTATACCTGAAAATTTTCTAGCTCCTTTTTCTTCAACAATTCTGACATATAATCAATAAGGTGAAGTCCAAAAGCATTCTTTGCATTGATTTTCTGAAAAACACAAGATGTATTTCAACACAATGGTATTAAGAACCTTTGATTAACTATTTGTGTAAGGTTATAAGAGCTACCATACAATTGATAAATGTTGAAAAAAGTAAGTATCTACTTAAACGCTTATCCTGCTGGCAACACCAGATTCTATCAATGTGACCAATGCAGACCAATTGGCACATCCTTGCTGTCTGATCATGGTCTGTACATATTTCAAAATTTAATTTACCCTTAAAATGACAAATGGTCTTGTCCAGTTTGAAAGATGTACAAGTCCATTTAAGATACTTAAGATTAAAATATTAGGTCTACCTAAGTTGCAACCTGCAACTAAAATTGATAAAATTTTCGAGCAAAAAATGCTTGGGATTACAACAACTTCAAACCCGCACTGAGAACTATGAAATACTACTATTATTATAATAGAGGTTAAAACTTACATTTTCTGCTGACAGTTTTATACAGCTGGTGTAATGTTCTGTAAGTTGAGCTGTGGAAAATCCACTCAATGGCAGAGATTTTCTCCTGTGGAAAAATTAAAAACAATACTCCTTTAGTCCTTGATATACAAGAGTAATAGATTAGAAAACTCTTTCAAGAAATTACTAATTAATGAAAGAAATGCTGGCATGCTAATATAAAACTTTAAACTGAATGACAACAATTTAATTATTCTACATATATACACTTATGCTGTAAAGTAACAGCAATTTTTTTATTTTAATTAAAGAAAATAATTGTGCAGTATTATGAATTATTACTAATAACACATTTGACTTGATTTATGGTAGTGTAATAACAGTTGTTAGCTTTATAACCTAACAACACTCTATATTGGGAAATATAACCTGTCAAATACATTTCAAGGTAGATACAAGGTCCATTGCAATAATATTGGAGTTTAAAACAGATTATTTCGCAACCAGTAATTTATCAGTTAATGTATTCAGTAATAACAGAATGGTTCTCGGGCAAATATGAACTAACCTATCAGCGGGAGAGCTAGGACTGCCCATGTTTTTCCGCTGCAGGTCCATGACCCTTGACCTGCGACGGGCCTTCCTCTCCAGCTCATCATCTTGCTGCTCCATTAGTAACGTGGATGGGCTACTGACACCTGCAAAAATTAGTTGAAAGCATAAGTTGTGCTGATCATGGGCTTTTGATAATAAGTACACAGAGATCTGCCAAGAATTTGAAAGTACTGGGCCCTGGGCCCACTTGGTCTGAAAATGATGGGCCATTTTTACCAAAGTATGGGCCTTGGGAAAATAAGTAAACATTGACCAAAATAACTGTTAAAAAGTTTGTAGATAATTGAATTTCCCTGGTAATAAAACTTAAATCATATTTTATGACAAGTGGTTCACTTATAATTCAGTACTTAACCAATAATTAAAAATTATGCCTACATGGTAACTTTCTAACTAATATTAATTGCAGGCAAAATATTTTTCAAATGGCAGCTCAAAAATTTGAAATGCAAATTTATTCACATAATTGCTTGTTCACTTACGAACTTTCGCTATACGTCTATGCAATATTTCGATAGAGCGGAAATCAGTGCGCGAGCATGCGCTTTGCAATATCTCGTTCAGTTACCGCTCACGTTTAAAATCGGTTGCTATGAAGCGACACTAAGTGTACATGGCTTTTACAACTAAAATATCAGACAAACACATTAAAACAATACACATAGACTACACATAGTTGTTTTCCATATTAATATTTTGCATTTGAAACAGATAGTCAAACAAATATCTCAATATTCTTACTGATTTAATGTATTGTTTACATGTGATGACAGCAACGCTGTGTGTTAGATTACTTTCGGTTCAGAAAATTCATTTGTTTACCATCAAAACTCATATGTTTACCATAGGAACCACATATTGATAGAAAGCAAATTAAACAAAGGTAAAGAAAAAATTGTCCGTTTCTGAACAAAAAATCGAATAAATAAATACAAAGTCTTTTTAAAAAGTCCCTTCTTCGAGTTCATTTGAAAGGGGAATAATTTGGTGGAATTTTAGACAGGGAAACAGGCAGTTATCTTTCATGGCTAGGGAATATGGCCGACTGAAATTATGCAAGCAAGTTTGTAAGTGTTGTTCTTACTTGTAATGTCTTATATTGTGCATTATCCATTTAATTGTTCCTACTTTGCACCAAATGTCCCTTACCACTGTATATTGACGAATTTTATTGCCCCTTGTATGCCTCTGTGTAGACAGCATACATCAAAGACATTTGCCGACAGACCTTTTGATCATGAAAAAAAGTCATGCACAGTGTTTCTCTGATTGGTTAATCACCCTGTCAAATATTCTGATGACGAAATATACATCTTTTTTTACACTTCATCAGCCAAAACTTGCGTGAACTTGAGTGACCTTAGGGTTGATCAAGTTGAACACCTGTCAGATTATACTGTAACTTACAGCATTTCTTAAAATAGCAACACTTTTTTTTCAGTTACCGATACTCATTTTAAATATTAAATAATTGTATAATTTGTTTGTTTGTTTTATTGGATTAAATTTACGGTAGTAGAAATGAGTATCTGTTTGGGAAAGGGATTATGAGAAGAAATGCGGTAAGTAGATAACATGGACAAAAGCTATAGGGGCATGGATAGCCTCAAGAATATGCGTAATTACAGGAGCATAGGTAACATGTTGCTGTTGGTACCAGTTTTGACTGGATGACTAAATAACCCAGCAGACAGTTTTGTTTTCTTATAAGTCTGGCACAGATTTTAGATGCGCCCATGGCCCTTTGCTGCCGATTTTCCTGCGCCATTCTCATTTTTTTAGCGCCAATGGCGCAAAATCGCGTCCTCGGCAGATCTCTGAGTACATGTATAAGTAATTCAGATGAAGCTGACATCTTTTAAACAATGAAATATTGCAGAAAAAAAGAGAATTTCTTATTACTCAGGGTGTCCATTTGACCCTTGAAATGACTCTTTGACCCTTCAAGTTTCCAAAAGGCCTGTTTTGACCCTCAAGATTTTAACTGGAGGGTCAAATTTTGTTACAATCATGGGGATTTGACCTTGTATAAACCGGTAAAACTTAGTCAAAATGACCCTTTAGGATTTCATGGTCAATGAATGCCCTGATTACTAGTATTTTCATTAATATAACAATAGCATGACTTTATTAAAAGCAACAAGACAAATACATAAAATCAATATATATATATACACATTACACTATGGACCAATTTTCCTTAGTATTTGTATTAAGTATCATACATAAAAACAAACCATAAAAGAATTAAATATGGAGTTTGAGATACATGATCCAGTACAACATAACTATATATAGCAGATAATAAATTGCTCTTGAACAAAATATTAATATTCCTCATATAAATGTACATACTAAAATTTAATAACTTAAAACTTTTATCAATATTTTTTCTTTCAAGAAACATTTTATAAAAATATCTAAATGAATCACTTCAGTTGTTTTTATCAATATCTAAAATACTTGTGGAAAAATGCCAATTGTTTTTATCAATATCTAAAATACTTGTGGAAAAATGCCAATTGTAGACCATTCCACTAACTTTAATAGTATTGTTCTAATTAATTGATAGAAAGAAAACAAATAAAGGTTGACTCACACTGAATAGGACACTAAAATCCATATTTTAATATCAAGAGGTTTATAAAAAGGCATTGTTTTCATTTTTCATCAATTTTGTTTACAATGTATATAGAAACACTCTGACACTGTGAGTGTGAAGCATGCTTTTACCAGTACTTCCATATTCTAAAATATGTCACTAAATACTAAGTTCTTAAAAACAGCTGTTACAGAGTTGTTGCATATTTTAGAAGTCAACTTTAAATCATCAATATTTAATTGAAAACAGTCTTGAAGATTTTAAAATGTGATAGTTCATTGCTGTTACGCTTCACTTGTTCCAAATGTAACATCTTGTATTTGACTAATTTCAGCACTAAATATCAAGTTAGATTCTTAAAGGGAGGTAATTCATTCAACATTTTACTCATAAAACAGATAATATACATTTAATTTAAGTGATAAAATATAAAGTAAATTCTGCAAATTTTTCTCAAGTTTGATTTCTCAAGTTCCACAAGTAACATCTGGAGGTATTTGGAATTATAAAGTTATTAACATATATTTTACTTCAGCTACATTTTAACAATGGTTATTAGACTAGATTTAAAACTTTCTTCTTTGATCTTCTATTTCTTCTCAGATTTAAAAGAAGTGAATTTCTGAGAGCACTGCTGTCCCAGATGCTAGGACTTATTTGATGGAAGGATGTTTAATATCTCATCAGTGATACCTCTGTAAAGCGGCCCTCTATAAAGCAATTACCTCTTTCAAACAACAGTGTCCAAAAAAGTAAGATTTCAAATAAAGTTGAGCCCCTCAAGAGCAACATTTCTAAGGATAACTAAAATTGTTGTCTTCAAACAGATATTGCTCTGCATATGTTCTACAGTATTTACTGTATAAAATAAGGCTGTGTGGTACTTACTATTGACTTTGCCGAAAGATGGTGAGTTGACAGATGATTGAGAATATCTTTGAGGTATGTTTGGTGTACTGACAATGGGAGACAGAACCTCCCTTTGCCTCATGGCCGACATTGCACGCTGAAAGACATAAAATATAAAATAAAAAATAGATTAGATACAATGAGTTCAAATTCAATTTCATACTTAATGAATAATAATGATTGCATCTTTGCTTTTCAAATTACACACATCAATGTGAAAAATACACAGCTTCTATAACAGTATTTAAAGTAAATAAAAAATCTATGAAATTAAAATAAAAATAGTTTTCAAAACAAGAGAGGCAGAGCCAAGATGACCATAGATCGCACACCTTACCCATCAAACTCATCTGAGCAATTACCTAGACAAACATCCTGACAAAGTTTCACGATTGTTGAGTCAAAAATGTGACCTCTAGTGTATTGAGTCAAAAATGTAACCTCTAGAGTATTAACCAGGTTTTTCATATTTGGGCAGTGTGACCTAGTTCTTGACTCCAGGTGACCCATATTCAAACTATACCTAGAAATCATCAAAACAAAACATGACCTAGTTCTTGACCCAAGGTGACCAATATTCAAACTAGACACAGAAATCATCAAAACAAACTATCAGACCAATTCCCAGGATATTTGGATCAAAACAGTAGCCACTGAAGTGTAACTGTTAACAAGATTTTTCTATTTTTAGCTCCCGATACCTAGATTTTCATCCGAGATGACCCATTTTCGAACTCATGCGAGCAATTACCTAGACAAGCATCCTGACAAAGTGTGATGATGATTGAGTCAAAACTGTGACCACTAGAGTGTTAATAAGGTTTTTCCATATTTGGGCGATGTGACCTAGTTTTTGACCCAATTTGGGCGATGTGACCTAGTTTTTGACCCAAGGTGACCCAAATTCGAACTTGACCTAGAAAAGCATCCTGACAAAGTATGGTGATGATTGAGGCAAAAATGTGACAAACTAGAGTGTTAACGAACAAATGTGGACAGACGACGGGCATTCAACAATCTTAAAAGCTCACCCTGTGTAAGCTCAGGTGAGGTAAAAATATTTAAAGGACTGAAAAACAAAAAGCTGTCACTACATTGTATAGACCGCCTCTGCTATGTTAATTGAAATCAAATAGTAAAATTCTGTTAAATGTCTGGCTTTGCATTTTCAGTTGCTAGTGTTGGACTTCAAATAATTTTCATTATTGATTTTTCAGATTTTCTGCATTGTATTTTCCTTTTTGGAAAGCTGTTTTAAAACTTTCTTTTAAAATCAAAGCATAGTCTTCTGACTCTTCAACTTAAGTAACTTCAAACTTCGCACAAAAAGAAATATTTTCACAAGACAGATAGAACTTGGTTTTTAATTGCATTTAAAATACCTCAGTTTTTAATAGTATATAGTACTATCATTCACACATGTATGTAACTTATTCAAATAATAATTTAATTTCCTTAACTATGAATAAAATCTTATCAATCAATAACTGGCAGGTTAAGTGTTTTAAATATATGCTATTTTAATGAGCAACAAACATGAAATTAAACTGTCATGGAAATGTAAGACACAATAATATGACAATTTGTAAATTAAAACAAACCACTTACTAATAATATACATGTCCCAACATAAAGTGTTTATCTCCCCTTAGTACTCTCTAAGTTCAAGTTTTACAAGAACAATGCTTGGTTATATTTTACAAACTTGACACGTAGGTAAATGATTCTGACCACATTGGAGTAAAATGAACAACTGAAGTACTTCTAAAAAATACCAAAATCAGTATACGAGATACTTTCCAACAATGCTTAATTTAAAAAAATTCGAAAATATATTACCCCACCCACCTTTTTATTTTGATGTTTTGCAGGTTTTATTCATAATCTTGCATGTGTAAGCCATTATTGGCAATAAGAATGTATTCTTTAATACTTACTATAGAAATACTAAAGGAAAACTACTAATAATGTAAGCACTACGTTCCGAGAATCACGATCGAATGTGTTTATTTCTCCATCTTTGAAGTACCCGCCTTTGTCAGCGAAATCCCGCGAGATTTCCTTAGTTCGGCAGTTATTTGAGTTAGGCAGTTTATGACCGCGGCAAATTTAATTAAAATGAGCAAAAGGACACTCTTAAGTAATTAAAGGCCTTGGTGATGATATTAATTATTTATTTTGTTTGTACTGAATATAATAAATACAATAATATATTTTCCACAATGTATAAATTTAGATAGCAGTACCATTTGTAATATAATTGATACTTTCACATGTTTTCGCGACATATTACAGCACCATTTTATCTTCATCATACTGCTTCAAAATCGTTAACGATTACATTAAGCAATCGTTTTTTACAGTAGCCCGGGGTTCTATGGTATCACGGTACTTAACGTTTATCGGAAAATATTTAAATATAAATTAATGAGATTTTTCTTCCATCTTATAATTGAATCTTTTCCAGAACTGTTTGTCAAAAAATTATTTCAAAAGAACCAATAAAAATGACATTTTTTAGAATATTTTCAATGTCTGTCATTTTGGGTAATTTCAGAGGAGGTTACTACAGTATCTAGGTAATCCCAAAAAAAGCAAGTAAGGAAGGACAGATGGGTCAAAAATTTCAAGTTAAGTTGTGAAAAACTTCCAACAGTTAACTTGCTATAAAATTAAAACTATATGAACAGACTATATGTCAGTATATGTGTTTATAACATATTTTAATTGACTGTGTAAAAACCATTAAGGAAAATGGTAGTCAAATATGAAGGTTTTATAAAATAGTTTTCTTGACACAAATACATTCATTATTCACCAAATTAAATTTTATGGCAGATGAAAATGAATCTAGTGTGCAAGTTTTACAAATATTAGTTAGCATCATCATGTGTTGCTTTTACTAGCAGTCACAGAAAATTTAAATACCTTGATATCATAGAACCCTTGATATCATAGGAACCAAGTACATAAGATAACAGTTTTTTTTTGTTTCAGGTTTTAATGTACACTCGGGTTACAATGAGCAAGACTCCGGCATCAGCTGCTGTAAGTTCTGTCAAGGATTTTGACAGTCTTATTCTTTATTTTCCGCATTGCGCTGTGGAGTTCCAAATGCCTGTCCTTAAATTCCAAATCATGTATAAACTTGTCAGTTTCAGCACATGAATTTTCTTATATATCAATAAAATCTAATATATGCTGTTTCAAAAAAAAAAAAAAATGAAAAAAGTCAAATTTCAAAATCTCTTGCACTTTAACCGTTACGCCATTCTAAGTCCCACAATATCTATACAGATTGACAAAATATACAATTTATTTGGATTTAAAGGTATTTGGAGCTCCACACCACTAGTACCTGTGTATCTGTGTGCCACAGAGTGTTCTCTTGATAGATAAAGATATGACATGTTATCTATGTCTCTGGATATAATAAGGGGATACAACTTGTATCACTGTATATAGTCCATTCCAACAGGGTCTGATTCAAAATATGATTTAAATTAAAAACAACTGTTAACAACATTTTTCTTGTCTTTTTATGTATGTTCTTTTATATGTCTATCTTTCTTAAAAAAATATTATTCAGTTACAAAAATGTCCCATATCTTTAACCAGAAAAGTAATATATATTTAAAATGAACTTGTTCTACTTGTACACATAATAATGCTCCTTAAATGTCATGATCTAAAATTCTATTCATAAAACAATGCTACATGTATATGTTACATCCTCTAAAGGCAACTTGAAGTCATACAGTCACCAAATATAGAGTGTTTATTTTCACTTTTTACAATATTTTTCTGCATCCACTTGAATGCATCCTGGTAGGTATTTTAGGTATTGCCATGGATGCAGGATCCTGCATCAGTAAATCCCTAATTTTATTGCAGAATATACTTGTCATCAAAATACTTATTTAAGAGCTTGCAATTAATCAATAATTGAAAGGTGACTCTTAATTAAATCAAGTTTCTTGTTGACTGAATTGGTTTCCTACAAGTTCAAATTATACTGGAGTAACACATCAATGTAATTATTTATTACAATGTATGTATATGCAGCCATGCAGCAATAGGTATAATTATTAATATAAATATCTGGTAAATGTGAATACTATAGTATTAAGTAACATCATACATGTACTTTAAGAATTAACAAACAAAAAAATCTTTAAATAGGCACTGAAAGTTTAAACAGTGTAGAATAGTCTTGAATGCTGTAAAATAGTATTATTTGAATTACAGTTGAGCAGTAGTTTAAAAGAAAGACTGAAGAAATGTGGTCGTTACCATGCTTCCCCTGAGCCAGTTGCTAGGCAACCAAAGATTTTGGCAACAACATTGGACAAGGAAAAGACAGACAATAATGTACATTTTAGACAAGAACCAGTTTTACCAAATGTGAAACGTCAGTGTTTAGAAGGTAGATCAAATAATGTAAATTCATATAATGAATTAACTAGTAACCATGACAACCAGTCACCATTGCTAACAAAAAGGCATACACAGTCTAATCTGTACAGTATAGATTCAGAGGAAAGAAAAGAAATAGACAATACAGTAACAAAATGTAGTACTGTGACGGAAACGTACTTTATGGGTAACTTTATTGCCTCCCCTTTCTATAAGTTCGCCATTTGTATATGAAAAATATAATCATGTATTTGTAAATATATCATGGTATAAAGAGTAGGTATTTTAATCATCTTTACGTTAAAATCAGTATAACTTTATGGTATCCTTCAAAGTGTTTATATTTGAAATTGTTTATCTGTTGTTCACAGTAGTTCATAAGAGAAATAACTTTAAGTAACAGACGCTTATAAGATTTTGTTAGAATCAGTATCAAGAAACGTTTTATTTTTATTAGCCAATCAAAATCATTGTTTTTATTCACTGCGGAGATGGTTCAATCACTAGTATAAATGGAGCGTTCGCAGTGCAAAAGATTCAGTTTGGTTTCGTCCGTGGGGCAGATCAGAGCACTATTATATTTACTAGTGCCGATGAATCTTAGATATCCGGTGCTAAAAATATCTTGCTGCTTCTGTGAAACCTCATGGACAAACGTTCGATAGAAGAAAGTTTGAGAAATGGGTATTTTAAGATGGTTTGAATATGTATGTGTATAGAAGGGAACGACGTAGTTAATACATACTAGTGTACAGAATCGCAGATATCTGGCACTTAGGACGTTTTACTATATCTGTCAAATCTCTGAGTAATTGTTTAGTTTAAGTATTTAGGGAATATGTTTGGTTATGTCCTTGTAAGAGTTGGATCGTAATGATAGTAGCATTTTCATGTACACAGAATCTCAGATATCTGGTACTGAAATGTTCTATTGTTTCAGTAAGACCTCTCGGGCAAACGGTTGATTAGAAGTATTTTGGTTGAAGTTAAAGCTTATAGTTACTAGTACGCAGAAATCTCAGATATCTGATACTAAGGATGCTATATTTATAAGACAAAAGAACAATGTGAAACTATTTGAATGATTATTTGAAGTATTGATATTTTTGGATAAGAGATTGTTGAAATAAAAAAGTAGGGTAATGAAGGATTGGTTTAGCTTTCGACAGGTATTTGTTTGAGAATTGTTTTTGAAAAAATAAATTGTTTCTTTTGGAATATACAGTTTTGAATGATTTAAGAAGTAGATTAAGATTGTTATTTTGCAATGAATGATTTTTGTTTAGTTATTTTCCAATCATAAGGATAGGCATCCCGAGAAAAATTATATATTTGCATTTGAGAGTCTTGTGATTTTATTTTGTAGCTATAGATTAAATAACCAACAACTCGATACACGCTACAAAATTGGTGGCAGCGGTGGGATATATCTTATTTGATAGATTTCAAATGGATTTTTGATAAATAAACCTTTATCACTTACCTACGTTTGTTTAAAATTTATATTTACTGGATTTTGAAAAAGACTATGGCTGAGTATAGGTTATTTGAAAAATGAAACAAAATAAGAGATTATGTCGAACATATTTGTAATTTTGAACTATGTTTTAAAATTGCAAGACAAGAACCAGAAGTATTTGCTAGATATATAATTTTATGAAAGGGAATAAGCTATTGTTTTGATGTGGGTCTATATGTAAAAGCAATGAATAAAGTTTGTGTAATTTTTTGAATATTTGTTTTAAAGCATTAAAGAAAAGTTAGTTTGATATTTAGTTTGTGATTGCATACGCATGTTTTTATGTTATTTGTTTTGTAAATTCTGAGATGTATTTTTGCTTAATCAAGTTAAAGATTTCACACCATTTTAATCATGTATAGGTAAAGATATTTAATCAGAAACATGCGGGGCGCATGAAGTCGGAGGCGTGGGTAATGTGACGGAAACGTACTTTATGGGTAACTTTATTGCCTCCCCTTTCTATAAGTTTGCCATTTGTATATGAAAAATATAATCATGTATTTGTAAATATATCATGGTATAAAGAGTAGGTATTTTAATCATCTTTAACGTTAAAATCAGTATAACTTTTATGGTATCCTTCAAAGTGTTTATATTTGAAATTGTTTATCTGTTGTTTCACAGTAGTTCATAAGAGAAATAACTTTAAGTAACAGACGCTTATAAGATTTTGTTTTAGAATCAGTATCAAGAAACGTTTTATTTTTATTAGCCAATCAAAATCATTGTTTTTATTCACTGCGGAGATGGTTCAATCACTAGTATAAATGGAGCGTTCGCAGTGCAAAAGATTCAGTTTGGTTTCGTCCGTGGGGCAGATCAGAGCACTATTATATTTACTAGTGCCGATGAATCTTAGATATCCGGTGCTAAAAATATCTTGCTGCTTCTGTGAAACCTCATGGACAAACGTTCGATAGAAGAAAGTTTGAGAAATGGGTATTTTAAGATGGTTTGAATATGTATGTGTATAGAAGGGAACGACGTAGTTAATACATACTAGTGTACAGAAATCGCAGATATCTGGCACTTAGGACGTTTTACTATATCTGTCAAATCTCTGAGTAATTGTTTAGTTTAAGTATTTAGGGAATATGTTTGGTTATGTCCTTGTAAGAGTTGGATCGTAATGATAGTAGCATTTTCATGTACACAGAATCTCAGATATCTGGTACTGAAATGTTCTATTGTTTCAGTAAGACCTCTCGGGCAAACGGTTGATTAGAAGTATTTTGGTTGAAGTTAAAGCTTATAGTTACTAGTACGCAGAAATCTCAGATATCTGATACTAAGGATGCTATATTTATAAGACAAAAGAACAATGTGAAACTATTTGAATGATTATTTGAAGTATTGATATTTTTGGATAAGAGATTGTTGAAATAAAAAAGTAGGGTAATGAAGGATTGGTTTAGCTTTCGACAGGTATTTGTTTGAGAATTGTTTTTGAAAAAATAAATTGTTTCTTTTGGAATATACAGTTTTGAATGATTTAAGAAGTAGATTAAGATTGTTATTTTGCAATGAATGATTTTTGTTTAGTTATTTTCCAATCATAAGGATAGGCATCCCGAGAAAAATTATATATTTGCATTTGAGAGTCTTGTGATTTTATTTTGTAGCTATAGATTAAATAACCAACAACTCGATACACGCTACAGTACTGCTAATTGTTCATTGAATCAGACTCCGATTTCCCAAAGGTCAAGGTCATCTTCATTGAAGGTCAAGGTAAATAAGCTTAATTTTGAAGAAGCAAGTATAGAAGACAATGATCAGGAGAACAGTGGCTCTATAAGTAAAACAAAGTATTCTATGGAAGATTCTTCACAAATTTCCAATGAAAATTTGATAAAATCAGACCTTGAGCTACCTCCAGTATTGAAGAGGAATTTAATGAAAGAATTAGAATCAAAGGAAGAACAACTACGAAAGCTGAGGATGGTTAAAATGTACCGATCAAAGGTATGTACCAGGTATTTCACCTGCATTAACCCGGGATTTGTATACATAATTAACTTTGTGTTAACATTTCTGTATTTATACAATATGAAATTCGTATAAAGTCCCAAATCATTTCACCTTTCTATGATAATAATAATAATATAAAGTTATTAAGTTGTTATATTACATGTAGTCACTGTCAGGAGTGCAAGGGATTGTTTGGAAAATGACTTGTGCTTTTACCTTGCCACTGTTTCCACCGTTCAGTTAAGGTAAATGGAGTGGTCTTGCATTTGGGAGATATATTTGTTCAAGGTAATAGTGACAGTCTTGAATAATGTATATTAAGAAATATTCTCCCCAATCATGCATTTTTGAAGAAATCTTGTTATTTATCAAATAAGCATTAATATTAAGAGTACAGTATTTATCATGTTTATTGCCTCATATATACATTGTCTTAGGTTTGACGGGTAGAAATAGAATATAAGATGACAAGGTCACTATTTAACTTTAAGGCGAAGTGCTAAAAAATAAATGAAATAAGCCATAGAATCAAAGATTGACACTCTCCATGAAAAGAGTTTAGAATGCACATCTTCTGTATAAATAGTATTGAAGAAGGGCATCGTGTGATGGTTAAAATTTAAAGATTTTTAAGAAACGTCTGTGGGTTTTTTTTGTAGAATAATCTGGAAGAATTACAAACTTTGATAGATAAATGGAGAGCTGTGTCCCAGCAAGCATTACAGGATCTACATGCTGCCATGCCGGAACCCAGACCAACTCTAACAGAACTCATCAACCATCTTGGAATCGATCATGAGCTTCTTCACTTCAATGCAGAAGAGGACGAGACATTCTTTTAGTGTAGAAATGTAAAGTTTCCATATGATATGACCATACATTTGTAACATTCATTGTTAGTGCGACTTAAAACCAAAGGATTAAAAAGGTGTTAAAATAGTCTTTCTTCATATGTTTAGCATCCAATGCAACACTTCTGTTACACAGTAAACATATAGTTTAAGTGACAGCTATTATTTCAAAGCTGCATGCCTCTAGATATTAAAGCCAAAATATTTCAAGAAAATCAAATTTGGCAAAAATGTACTAAGATTTTAAGAACAGTTAAACGATTTAAGATGCAATTAATAATTAACACGTTATATGCCATTAATGACTGATTTTGCCATATTTATCATTATATTTCTACAGTGTGAATTAATGCAGTTAGTGCTATTTTTTTCATGTTTTTTTTTACTCCTTTTTTTGGTAATTTATGCGGGTTGTTCAATGTAAATACCATTTGCAATGTATAAATGAAATTACTTTCTGTGTTCACTACAAAGTTTTTTACCTTTAAATACATTGTCATAGAAATATGCATGATTCTGGAGGCATGCTGCTTTAAGTATGTTTATTTTAGTTATTTTTCTTTTTGATTGTAAATGTATTCTCCTTGCACTTAAATTTTTAAGGACGATTTACTGGAATCAACTTCTGCTATTCATCCCAGCTGTCAGGGTTTTTTTTTTCTTTTTTTTTTGTCTGGGGCTTAAAAAAGGATATATCAGTTCGTAACTTCATAGATGTGCAGATCAACCTTAAACTATCTCGTATCTCTTTTTCATAATTTGCACATAGAAATTTCCTTACTCATTTTTTTTTGTCAGGAGTATAACTCAAATGGTGTTGAAGGTAACAACTTAAAGCTTTATAGTCATATAGATGAACAGATCTCTTGGAGAAGAAGTGCAGTGTCCAAGAACTGTAACTCTTTACATAATTTTACAGGATAGAATCAACATGATTTCTTTTCTTTGTTTGATATACATGTGTACTTGTTGTTGTTATCTTTATTTGATGACATTTTTATTTTTACATGTGCATTTAGTTGCCGCCTTGTCCGTCCATTGTGCTTGTCCCAAGCATAACTTGAAAAACCTTGGAGATAATTTGTTTAAACTTCACATAGCAGACATAGTGGTAGAGGGCATTGAGGCGAAGTACAGTGTCAAAGAAACAACTCTGTTTTGCTTTTAGAAAAATACTTGTCCGGGACATAACTCTTAAACTATAAGAGATATCAACTTAAAACTTTGTAGGTAGATAAATCTCATTGAGTAGAAGTGCGATGCAAAAGAACCATAAGTCCACCTTCCCTAATTTTGGAGTTAGTGCCCTTTGTTGATTTTTTCACTAAACTTTGTCCGGGTTATAGCTTTGAACCCATAAGGGGCATCAACAAGAAACTTTGTTGGTAAATAGATCTCATTGATTAGAAGTCCAGTAACACTGTTTGCCTAATTGAATGTGTTTATATTTGGGATAACCGTCCAGTTAGCTTAATAGGTTGACCGTTGGCCTGTGAGTCGGGCAACCGGGGTTTGATTCCCGAACAGTGCAGGTTACTTTCGTTGTGATTATGAAATCTTTTCTACTGTTATTTGCTCTGTACCTTTTCTCTGACATGTACAGAAGTTACAGTTCTTTGCAAAAGTAAGGGCAACTGCTTGACAGCCTGCCCAGGAACAATGTGGTGGGTTAACTGTGTTCTGGTAAATTCAATGTGGCTTTCTGCTGTGATCCGTAGTGGAAACTACCAACACCACCACAATGTTTATATTTGGCATACAATATTAAAACACAGGCCAAGATTATCAGCTAAGTGCATACTTGATTCAATTGACTTCTTTTTGATCAAAATAAAATTAAGTCATTTGGTTCAATTATCTTCTTTTACATTGTACTAATATGTTAACTTTTACCTACAAAAAACTCAGACTGTATATTTTTCTTGGCATGGTCCAGTGGTTAATACATCAAACTAGTAATCTACAAATTGAACAAGTGTCACGGTTCAGACCTGTTCACTTAATAGGGGAGAAAATGTGTAAGCGGCCGGATAGCTCAGACGGTAGAGCCGCTGAATGGTATTCCGAAGGTCCCGGGTTCGAGTCCCGGTCAGGCTGCACATTTTTCTCACCCTGTAACATTTGGCGCCCAACGGGGGACCGTGACTGAATATGCTCAGAGTTTAATTCACATTGCTCTGTAACTCTGTGAAATTCGAGGACGAATTTCAATATAGCAGGGGAGTATGTCACGGTTCAGAACTGTTCACTTAATAGGGGAGAAAATGTGTAAGCGGCCGGATAGCTCAGTCGGTAGAGCCGCAGAACGGTATTCCGAAGGTCCCGGGTTCGAGTCCCAGTTAGGCTGCACATTTTTCTTACCCTGTAACACAAGGAAAGAAGTCTTGTTGCTTAGTACTGGTTTGTTTCAAAAATGGATTTTAGGGTGTGTCTACACAGTTTTTAGTATAAAACAATACTTCAATCAGTACATACTAGTATTCAGAGGTGTACTAGAAAGCTAAATTGATGTTACACCACTATCGATCAAATTGACCAGGCCCTTGTAGATTAGCTTATTCACAATCAATATAAGGTCAAAGCTAATATTCCTGGGAGCTCTGCTATTTATTTTAAACAAGCTCTTTGTAGATATTTAATGAGAATGGTAAAACTGAGAAGCAAATATCCGGACAGTTACAAACTGGATGATGCAGCTCTGTAATGCTTAATTTTGTTTTATGGCACACTAACACAGTAATTTGTTTAGGTAATGTGGCACTTAAAGTATGAAGATCTTTGAAGTCAGCAACTTTGATATACCTGATTTTAAAATGCTGTCATTAGAATCTCAACCCAAATTGTTCTAGGGTTGAGAGTAAGCATTTGCAATATTCAATTATTCACCAACTATGCCACCTCTGATACATTCATTTAAACAATATATCCTGCTCTAAGTGTACTTTTACTCAACAAAAGACATAAATAAGAAGTATTATTTCAATAGCTTTATTCTGCATGCAAAATAATGTAAAAAAAGAATATGCTAAAAATACCATTTCAAAATCACAACATAAAAAGGTTAAAAGCGATGTATGTACAAGAAATTGTATGATTTATGTACAATGTAATGAGTTTTCAATTTCTTTTTTTTTCTGATCTTTTATTTACCTTTTTGAACAAAAAAATTATTACAAGTGAAATTTTACTAGCTCAATTTTGTTCTTTTTGTTAAAGATTTTGTTAAAAATTGGAGAGAAAAAAATCCTGCAGTCAAGATAATAATATTTTTTGCTACTATATAAATATTAAGTCAAAACTATGAATTTCAAAGTTTAAATCACTGATAATTATGTAAACGTTTGAAACTGCAAATATATCAAATGTATAAATTTCAGAAAAATTTCCATTGACAAAAATAGATTTACTTACTTGCTGCAATTAATCAAAAAAAAAATATTGACAATCATTATTTTATAAGTCCATTTGCATGTACCAGTATGAATTTTATTTTCTCATTCACATGTATATATTTTAATTTCTAAAATGAAACACTTTCCTGTAAGAAGTTAAATTCACGACGACAACAACAGTAACGATGATGATGAGATATTTACAGACGATATTTACATTATTTACAACCCTGAGTTACAAGCACTAAGCAGAGCTTCACGACTTTAATATCATTCACACTCATCATGAATTACCCATCATTCATTCCTCTACTGCCTCTTCTATTTTAATGCCTTTCAAATAACCAAAGCTGCCAATTAGCCTAAAGTTTCCAAAAAAAGATTTTTTGTTTAGTTTTACTGCAGACTGTCGTCATTTATACCAGAATGGTCTAAGGAAGACGACACATCTTTAGCTACCCTTGGCGAGAAAGAGGCAGGTGTCGAGGTCTCCCAGATTTCAAGAGTTCCCATGTTTGGTTCGATGTCGAGCGAGTCATCTAAATAAGGTAGAGGAAGATCTTCGATGTCGATGCTTGGAATTATCAGATCAGACAGGTTAACTAACTCTTCATCACAAAGTGAATCTGAAAAAAAAATGGTAACAGAAATGAAAATGAAATTTTAACATCACAGTATACAGGGTATTCAGTGACACATGATCCAGTGTCCTGGTAGGCATGTTCATTGCCGCTAGACACGCAGATTTCAAAGCTGGGATTCTTTATATGCTGAATGAATTTTGCCTGAGGCAAACACATAAACATAACTAATAGATAACAAACATGAATGCATATGTCAGGAAGTGATTACACACCATAAGCTGTCAAAAAGATATAATTAAAGCTTAAGATAATAATGGTCAATCACTGCAGAGCAAAACCGTGAGGGAGACAAATATTTTTGTTGTTGATAAGAATAATGAATTGTTGCTCTAGAAGTTGACTTTATTGCTCAGTCTTACTTAAGAACTAAAACTGTTTTACTAACAAAATAATTGCCATAGAGACAGAGCCACTCTGTGAAGGTTGAATTGTACACGGTGTGAATTTAATAAGTGACTGACTTTAATAAAAAGGCAATTTGGAGATCAAGCCACTAATGGAAATTAATCATGATTTCAGACAGTTCATTTTAAATATAACACACGGTCAAAATGAATGCAGGTAGAGTCCATTCATAAGATTCACAAAGTTAATATCTGAAATAATTATTTTGAACAGACCATAGGCACATGGGTCTTTTCAAAACTGAAAATGTCTTAAAGGCACTGTATGTCTCACAAACAAATATCTTTTTAATCTTCAGAATGAGTATACATTTGTTAGATAATGTTTTAGTAACAGATTTAAAGCATGTCAGATTCCTAACACTGGTAGAAAGAAGTGCTGAATGTGAAACAATTAGCAATAAAGGTAGCAAAATGTCAACAAAGTGGTATTTTAACTTTCGTACAAAATACTTAAACACTATAATACTAATACTAAATTCCAAACAACAGCAGTAGCAAAAGATGGTTCCACTTTATGTATATGGGTTCATTTCTGGAAACTGTAACAGGACACCAAATTAAAAGCTTTTAAAAATTTAAAAATAGCATTTCTGAGGCGTTATAGCCTTTAAGGAAGTATCATTCTAATCATTACCGTCTGGTGGAGGCAGGTCCGCCACATCTATTTTAGGAGACCTGTCTCTATCCTCATCATCACTGTCTTCAAAATCACTGTCCGGTTTTCCGACACCGAACAAACATGGTGGTCGCCAGTTGCGTATTCTCTCAACCACTCCAATCAACGCCTTGTCCATCTTTGGCTTGCAGTCCTCTGACAGACAAAATATAGTAAATTCCTTGATCAGTAATATAAAATGCATAAAGTTAGCAACATTTTACAGTACCGGTAGTTTCTTATTCCCCATCTTAATAGCATTTATATTAATCCAATGCATGATTTTACATTAGAAACAAACACAGAAATTATTACAAATCCTGACAGTATGCATTAATGCATTTTGCAACAATACTTCATTGAATGTTTAGTTAGGTTCTGTTGTGAAATGTACATATTGTAGGAACTGCGCACACACAAAACAGTTTTCGCAAACCACCCGCCATCAAATTTCACCTATTTAATTAAACAGGGATTTTTTTGCTTATTTTATAGCCCATATTCCCAATTGAAAATAGTGTATCATTTTCCTAATCCACAATTGAAAATAGTATATCATTTTCCTAATCCACATGAAAAAATTCCCAATTAAAGTTACAAAATAAAAATATTGTATAACAAAATGTAAAATCTTTGAAAATTGTTATGTTGCTTAAATGAATGAAGATGCCATCCTAGACAGTGATTCATTTAATCGCTGCAAAATTAGTCATGTATTTTTTCCCAATTTTTAACAAAACATCGCTGAAATTCACAATTCCATAGGTATGGATCATGTTCCAAAAATCTTGGGGAAAAAAACCTGTAATAGCCAGCATTTTCTTTCAAATGACTCAGTTATTTCCCCCTTACTGTGCCTTTTTTTATTCATGTTTACCTTGGCTAAAAATAATTTTTATATACAAAATGCAATTATTGGTTTGGTACATCATAACAATAGGATGCTACATTTGATTTTTTTAATCATATAAAACTCTCTTGTTTTTGTTTTGACACATACAGTCAACGTAAGTAAATCTTGAGCCCAAAAGTTTTATATATCTTTGCAAAGTGTATATAATGCTTTTTTTAAATGAACTCCTCTTAGTTTTAAATCTAAAAAAAAACAACTTAAACAACAAAAAAGTACCTTCTGGGTTAAAGACATTCAGAATTTCTTTTTCTGGCAAGGGTCCAGGTGGTTTGGTGATCACCTTTTCCTTGGTCTTAACTTTCAGCTTAGGTTCTGGATCAGTCTGAAATAAAGAAAAAATCTCATCACTATAATACTGTTTGGACCATCATTTTAAGAATTATGAAATATTTACAATAGTATTCCCTGAAAATTATCATAGAATTTCTTCATTTTTCAAAATTGAAAGGAAAACATATTTTAAAATACATGTATCTATTAAGAACAAACTGACAGTGATTCAACAGTATGTTATGAAGACTCCTATGGGGGTATAAAATTTAGTTTAATAATGTTTTATTGCATAAATAGATATACATCAATTCATTTACATCAACAAAATTACACAATACACAAAAGGATATGGCCGAAAGTTAAAATAAAATAAATTAAGATTAGGATATATGCGCTATATTTTAGATATGGTAGAAGATGTCCTTGTTAATTTCTTTCAGAATAAAGTCTCCGGTAAGTAGATTTTCATTCCTTCATTTGAAAAGCAGTTTCCTTGTATTTAGTCTTAAAACTGTCTTGTCTTTTTTTTAATTAGTTGATAAACAGATTAACTAACAAACAAAAATATCATTTGATAGACCTACATGAATGCGCATCTGATTTTTAGTGCTGATGGTCTGTAAAGGACCGCTCGGTTTCAAGAACAACTTGTTAACAGGTGCCACATTTCCTGGTTTGCTCGCATGTGCCGACTTTGTTGCCCTATAACACAAAATGAGTACATTTGACAATTGCTAAAATAAAAGCATTACTGGATTACTTAACTGCATTAGAACATGCTGGCTGATCTAGGTTTACAATGGTCACAAGGGTATTATTCTGTTCAAATCTGTTGCCACTAGCAGGCTTAAAGTTTAATAAATTGTGAACAGGATGTTGCCGGACAAGTCACCCTTACAGTGATTTTTTTTACTTTTTTCGCAACAACCAACACCCCTGAAATTGTGAATTTTTAGCGCAATAATCTGTCAAATTGTGAAAAATAAACAAGAATAAATCATCACCTGTAGCCACTTTATTCAAACATTTAATAATTATGCTCATAGTGAGACTCAAGTTTTCTTCTTTTTATTCCCTCAAATATATCAATCAAATTCTCAAGATTGTCATTTATCAGTTCATTTTTTTGTTTGGTTCTGAAAAGCAATCCTGCCAATTGTGAATTTTTTTACACATTTTGTGAATATTTTATGGTTGTTTGGCATTGTGAAGAGGCCATATTTCGGGTTCAAAATCAACCCAAAAACATCACTGCGGCCGTTCATTCTCAAAGACAATCCTGAACCATCACCAGATTCAGCAAACAGGCGGACAATTATAAATGAAAACTGATTGTGCCAATCATTATATAAATCCTCAACCTCTGAGGAAGACAGTTTTGTGTTTTATCCTCACATTGGTTTAGTATAACTATAACACAAATAGTAAACAAACAGCTTACCTGAGAGTGCTTTGGTCCTCATTTATTGTCCGAAGAGCAGATCTTGGGGTTGTTAATGACATTGCCATCTTTCTGTAAATCATAACATATGTAAATCTTAGACATCTTATTTCTATGATCTATTAGAACAAGAAATTTTATAACAGTTACCAACAAGAGCTACCACTAAAGGTGATTCATAACCAACCTTGACTGTTTGAAAAATAAGTGGTCTAAAGCAAAATTTGATATTTTCTGCGTAAACTTAGTTGCAACTAAAGTGATGGGAATGGTAAAGGGTCAACTCGGCCCTATACCAACTTGGCACGGGTCAACTTGGCACAGGTCAACTCGGCCTCTATTAAAAACCTATTAGGATATTGATTTTTTAGATTGTTTAGTTTATAAACATTTTAAGGAGTAAATTACTATAAAAGTATTAGAGGTATGATCTAACAAATAGAAAATGAAAAAGCTGGCAGTGTACATACTGCACATGTACGTATTGTTTGAAATTATGTTTGTTAAGAAGAGATAGGGTACGTTACGATACCGAAATCAACTTGATTTCGGTAACTTTACCGATATCAACTTTCATTACCGAAATCAACTCATAAAAACGAGCCAGGATTAATAATCTTGCTTATGTTTGTATTTTTGGACATAAATAACTAAAATTGACTTCTAGTGAAAAAAATCTACCAAAAATATTTTATTTTAATGATGTTATTGGCATAATTAAGCATTATTCGAATTACTTCCCTTGTCAGATACTAACCAAAATATGTTTAGCAATACCGAAAAACAATTAAGTATGTTAAAATTATATAATATCTAACACTGTTTTTATATTTGGATATGAATTAATGAATACAACTTATAAGTAAACAATTTTTGGGAAGATATTTTGTTTCGATGATGGTAATATATTATTTGATTTACCTCCTTTGTTTGACACATCAAATACATTCAATGTATGTGTAAACAAGAGGGCCATGATGGCCCTGGGGTCGCTCACTTGTACATAGGCCCCCAGGGCGGGGCTTGTTTAAACCAAAGGGCTTTTATTTGAACAAACTTGGAAGACACCCATTAGAAGATGTTTCATGATGTTAAGTTTTTACTATACACAAATAATGAAAAACAATGACTTTTGCCCCCCCCCCCTCCCCCTGGCAGGGCCAATTCTAACCCAAGGGCTTTTATTTGAACAAACTTGGTAGACACCCATTAGAATATGTTTCATGCTAAATATCTTAGCTCTAGCTCTTTGGGTTCTTTAAAAGAAGATTTTTAAGTTTTTAATTACTATATGCAATATAGGGAAAATCAATGACCCCCTAGGGCGGGGCCAATTTTGACCCAAGGGCTTTTATTTGAACAAACTTGGTAAACATCAATTAGAACATGTTTCATGCTAAATATCTTAGCTCTAGCTCTTTGGGTTCTTTAAAAGAAGATTTTTTTAAGTTTTTACTCTATGTATATAGGGAAAATCAATGACCCCTGGGGCGGGGCCAATTTTGACCCCAGGGCTTTTATTTGAACAAATTTGGTAGACACCCATTAGAAGATGTGTCATGCTTAATATCTTAGCTCTAGCTCTTTGGGTTCTTTAAAAGAAGATTTTTAAGTTTTTACTACATGTATATAGGGAAAATCAATGACCCCTGGGGCTGGGCCAATTTTGACCCCAGGGCTTTTATTTGAACAATCTTGGTAGACACTCATTAGAAGATGTTTCATGCTAAATATCTTAGCTCTAGCACTTTGGGTTCTTTAAGAGAAATTTTTTTAAGTTTTTACTATATGCATATAGGGAAAATCAATGACCCCCTGGGGCGGGGCCAATTTTGACCCCAGGGCTTTTATTTGAACAAGCTTGGTAGACATTCATTAGAACATGTTTCATGCCAAATATCTAAGCTCAAGCTCTTTGGGTTTTTTAGAAGAAGATTTTTTAAAGTTTTTACTATATGCATATAGGGAAAATCAATGACCCCCTGTGGCGGGCCAATTTTGACCCCAGGGCTTTTATTTGAACAATCTTGGTAGACCCTCATTAGAAGATGTTTCATGCTTAATATCTTAGCTCTAGCTCTTTGGGTTCTTTGAAAAAAGATTTTTTTAAGTTTTTACTATATGCATATAGGGAAAATCAAAGACCCCCTGGGGCGGGGCCAATTTTGACCCCAGGGCTTTTATTTGAACAAACTTGGTAGACACTGATTTGAAGATGTTTCATGATAAATATCTTAGCTCTAGCTCTTTGGGTACATTAAGAGAAAAAAATTTTAAGTTTTTACTATATGCATATAGGGAAAATCAATGACCCCCTGGGGCGGGGCCAATTTTGACCCCAGGGCTTTTATTTGAACAATCTTGGTAGACACTTACTAGAAGATGTTTCATGCCAAATATCTAAGCTCTAGCTCTTTGGGTTTTTTAGAAGAAGATGTTTAAAGTTTTTTCTTTTGGTTGCCATGGCAACCAGAGTTCTGCATGGAATTGAATTCTTTGAACAATTTTCAAAGGTGACCACCAAAGGAACATTCCTGTGAAGTTTGGATGAAATTGGCTCAGTGGTTTATGAGGAGATGTCATTTAAAGTAAAAGTTTACGGACGACGGACGGACGCTGGACGCACGGACGCCGGACGAAAAGCGAGCACAAAAGCTCACCCTGTCACAAAGCGACAGGTGAGCTAATAAATGACCAAATGGATGGAAATTTTATCGTATTTGTTTAATATCATTATTGAAGAAAATTGAAACAAGTAAATTTGTTTAATAGTAAAATGCCAATGTAAATGAATGAGGAATTGGATAGATATTTATTCAGATTTGTTTCTCCTTTTAAACAATATATAATTTTTATCTTATTTTAAAAAAAAAATTTTGAAACAGCTTTTACTCTTCTTTTTCCTTTTCTGAAAAATCGTTCTGTAATATTAACATTTATATACATTATCATGCATTCTAACACGACCCGCATTTTTCACTATTGAATATAGAAGAACAGAAAGTGTGTGTTATTATGCAATAAAGTCACAGTTGATGTTCTATATTTAGATATGTGACGTCATCAGTATACATGTGACGTAACCACTAAAAGAATCCGACGCGCTGAAAATAAGTACGGAAACAAATCAGGCGCAATTTTGATAAATATCAGGTACGGCAACATTTATTTGTTGATGTCGTGTTAGAATCGAAATAATATATCCAAATCGGTGATTTTATCGCCTGATAACAGCACTGTTTGTCGTTCGGATGCGCATCATTATATCACTCGGGCTATGCCCTCGTGATATAATTCGTCGCATCCGAACTCCAAACAGTCCTGTTATTGAGCGATAAAATCACTGTTTGGGATATATTATTTCTTAATTAGAAAATGGATTAAAAATTGCCAGTTACAGAACATTTACATGATTATGTATCCCATTATGCAGTCTATTAACACCTGTTATCTACAATAAACATCCATGTTTGTCATAAATAAAAGGTGATAACTGACTGTCCAACTGGATGACAGTCACTAGTTTTTTTGATCAGGTGTAACCTATTTCACACTTGATCCATTCATGTGCCAGCTAGTATCGATAAGATCATCAATATCACTTAATTCACTTTTTTGTTTATTTTTCTGTGTTTGCATATCAAATTGAATCTTCATTAATATTAAACATCAAAACAGGTCTGACATAAATTATTCACGTTGATTTCTGTATATTAATGTTCGGTTTGCATTGGCTAGGGGGAGAAATCATGAATATACTTTCGTCTCTAACAGGGCTCGACATTAACGGTTGTCCGACTGCCCGGGACAACTAAAAGTTTGGTCCGGGCAAGTTATTTTGAAAAGCACTTGTCCGACAGGGCAAGTGAAATTAAAAAGCATCATTTACAAAATGCATGTACAAAATAAATAGAAAAAACATCTTTTCATTTATAAACATCTGTAAACAAAAATACACCATGAATCATTATCAATAATGTAAATACACTACTGTCATGTACATTTGTTGATATAGAAAACGGAAGCCAAAATATGAGCATGCGCTGCTGTAAGGTAATTCCCCGTTCTAATAATAGACTATATTTAATTTTGTACAAGGTAATTCCCGGGTCATGCTGTCATTTTAATTTTGATGTGTGCATGTAAAGATATCATTGAAAATATGTAAATAATCGTATTGATCTTTCGATTTGTATTGAAAAATGATTTATTGTTTTATCTAATATAACAACATTATAAATGTAGTCGTCGTTATTAGCCTGGATGATGATTGATGAACTGATGTTTTAGATAAAGTACTGAATACAAAAATATTTGTGTCTAACTAACAATCAATTTCATAAACAATATGTCTAGTTTATTGCCTTATGTTAAAATGACCTTATACAAGAAGTAATAATGTATGAGCTTGTTTGTCTTTTCTGATTGATACATTTTTACCATTTTTAGGTCAGGACAAGTACTGTAACCCAACGAATATTCGCGACCAATTAATATTCGCTTTTTTCGCGGATGGCCACGAAGCGCGAATATTTGTTTGCGCGAATAAGTCCGCACGATTTTCGCGAATAAATTGGAGAGAAATTTTTATTTTAGACGTTGTTCATGCAAAGCTACTTGACCGGATTCATTCGAATTTTACGGGCACCTGTTAGGAAGTAATGAATTGTTATGAATATTGCCATAAAGCAATAAAAACACAAACTAAGTAAACTACTACTATTTTATAAATATCAAAAGAACTCTATGTCAATATAGCAATCAAAATAAACATCCACATTTTAATACAGTTTATGAAATACTAGTAGGCCTATTGTCAATCACGTTCCGTGATCACAATTCACTTACCAATACAATATAAGGCTAGCGTATTGTTAATCCCATTTAAGACACCAATAATGACCTCAATTATTGAAGATTAATAGTCGGCTAATGGATTTTACGGCCCCATCGGACTTTCCAATCCGCGAATATTTTTTTTTCGGAAATCAAGAAAACGCGGAAATTAATATTCGCGAATATGTCCGACCTCGGCAAAACGCGAAAATTTGTATTTGTATGAAAAATAACAA